TGGCCTGGAACTCAGGGATTCCCCCTTCCCCTGCCTCAGCCCCAACCCCTGGCATTTTTTTTTTTTTTTTTTTTTTTGAGACATTGAGACAGAGTCCCCCTGGAACACCAGCTGGCCTGGAACTTGCTATGTATACCAGGTTGGCCTCAATCTCAGATCTCCCTGCTCCTGCCTCCTGAGTGCTGGGATTAAAGATGTGTATCACTACACCTGGCTCCTCCTCCCAAAATTTTTAAGTCAGACATTACCAATTAGTCAGAGGGAGTAATGCACACCTGTGAACATAGCACTAAATGAGGCAGCAGGATGGAGAATTTGAGGTCAGCCTGAACTATATAATGAGGTACCATCCCCCAAAGAAACAGAACTGTTCTCCCCACACCCCTGAACCTGAGGCCGAGGATCCCTTTTAGACACCCCCAGATTCCTATAGACAAGATCTAAACCCAGTTTACCTCCACAAGGCACATGGAACAACTTTAGTAGTAGTAGGACTACTAAAGGCCATGGAGGACATCTCAAACTCTAGCTGTTTTCTGCCTCCTACTTAGAAAGCTGGCCATAAAAACAATCTGCCCACAATTAGAACACTGCAGGGAAAGCTGTGTTCCAGCCCCAAGTCACACAGAGGCTGAGGCCAAGGAAGAGGGGATTTGCTCAAGTTCCTGCAACCAGCCAGGGGACATGGAGATAGCTGCTCCAAGGCACCTGCCCACTGTGGGAGCCTCAAAAGTGACCTGACTGGAGACCAACCTGCTCGAGCCGGTTCTGCCTCTCTTTGAATGCCTCTAATGGGTCGTCCTCCAGGGCATAGTGCTCCAGCACCGTCCGGACATCTTCCACTTGATTCAGTGCAATGGCTGTGGGCACAAGGGGGCAGGGGGTGTTGGTAAGCCAAGCCCCAGGAGAGGCATCATAGGGCAAGGGTCAGCCCTCCCTGGAATGCTGTTCCATGCTCCTTCAAATATGTCCAAATAACTCCTAAACACTCCAGAGGAATGTTGGACATTCCAGAAATTTCCATATGACTCTAGGCTCCTCACAGATCACCTCCACCCTAACTGCCTAATGACAAACCAGAATTAAGTGTCTGTCCTTGTCTTGAGGGTCAAGGGCTTTTGGGTTAGGCATCAGGGGTCAGTCTCACTCTTGAGGAAGGCAGATAGGTCCAGCAAGACCCGGTCATCGGAGTTGCCATCCCAGGGCCTCAGGGCAACTCCATTGTAGGGCTGTAGGCGAAAGGCTTCCTTCTTGCAGTCCACAACTACTACTCGAGCTGGGTCTCGATTCAGACACGAAATATCCTGCAAGAGGGTGTACGGGTCAGATCACTGATAGTGCCGCTCCCTGTTGACTGCAGAGGGGACAAACACACAGATACATAGCATCATGCTATCTCCCAGAAACCAGGAATGGATGGCATCTCAGGCCTCCTGGGAACTGGGGAGCTAGTCAGGCAGTCAAGAGCCAGGGTTCACAGAGGTCTCTGGAGAGAACTGGTAGGTACAAACCCTACCCCAGATCCATGACAGGTTGCAGCTAGATCCATATGTGAGGAATCACACAAACAGACCCCTTGTCAGAACCTGAACTCTGCTGACTCTCCAGTGACACAGACCCCAGAGCCACCAAGACAGGGGAAGACCCAACAGACACATGGATTCCAGGGGCCTGGCCACCATGTCTAGATACATAGCTGGCCAAAGGAACAGATTACACAGCCTCAAGTAGGGCCCCAGAGACAAAAGCCATGCCCCTCCTTTCAGCCCCAGTTATCTCTTTCAGTAGACCCAAGGGCCAAGGTCCCAGCCAAGCTGGAGACAGGCAATCAGGCATCCTGCAAGGAGCAGCCACATCTTCAAGGAACCACAGCAGGCAGGAAGTGGTAATGGTCAGAGCAGCACTCCCAAATCCACCCCAGAGGAGCACTGTGATCCCTACACGGCACCTTCACATGGTGTCCGTCCATGTATCTGGTGGCGTCCCGGAACAGACGGTAGGAGATGAAGCCATGGGGGTCCACACTATCAATGAGAGGAAACGCAGTCTGCAGGGATAGGAATGGATGAAAAGTCAGGCTGGTCTCTGGCCATCTGCATCTTACCCACCTGTGGCCCAGAGACTTACCATGCCAGTCTCTGATGTAAAGATGACAATTTCATACAGGGGAGCAAGCTGCTGGAACAAGGTTTCGATGCCCGGGCGCTTCTTAAACCTCCAGCCAGTGGCCAACTGTAGAGGCAGTGAGGACAGCGAAGTTCTGAGACCAGGAGTCCCAAGGGGCCAACACCCAACCTCAGGCTCCCAGCACCTGGGTTCTGTCTGCTCCTGGGCCTGAGGAATGGCATTTATTCTGAGCCAAGGTAGATGACTCACAATAGCCAAGAGTGGGGATGGATGGGAGTGAGGCAATAAGGGGTTCACACAACACGACAGGGTTGATCCCCAGCACACCTAGCCCAGCCTCCCCGGTCTATCCCAACCCACTGCCTTCCCCAGGACACACCGACCACTCAGGGTGCAGGAGGACCCCAGTGAGCTCCAGGACTAGTGTGTAGGGTGGCTGGTAGTAGGGCTCCCGAAGAGGGTCTGGGAGAAGGCAGGGACTTGTGGGCTCGATGATCATCTGTGGGAGAGGATGGGTTGCTCCAACTCAGAAACACCGCTCAGACTCAGAAAGAGTTGGGCGTGGGGACTGGGCCAAGGCCCCTGCTCACCTGTCTGTAATCTTTGAAATATTTGTATGTCCGGCGCAACTGCTGAACCAGAATCGGATCTAGAACACCAGGTACAAAGGGATTCCAAGGTAAGCCACTGCTCCACCTCCCGGACAAGGCAGGACTTTATTATATTTTATTTATTTGCAGAACAAATGTAGATTTATTAAAGTGAGAACTCCCAAGAGTCGGGGGATAGAGAGTTAAAAGGAAAGAATAAGGAAAGAATAGGAGCTGGAGAGATGGCTCAGCGGTTAAGAGCTCTAGCTGCTCTTCAGAGGACCCGGGTTTGGTCCCCAGCACCCACATGGCAGCCAAAAAAACTCCATTTCCAGGAAATCCGACACCCTCTTCTGACCTCTGTGAGCACTGTAAGACACAGGTACACTTACAAACATGTAGGCAATACACTCATATACATAAAATAAAATTAAAAACAGTAATAAAAGAGTACTTGAAACAGGGCTTTGTGTAGTTCACAATGGCCTCAAACTTACTATGTAGTGGAGGCTGGCCTTGAACTCCTAATCCTTCTCCCTCTCCCTCCCAAGTACTGGGATTACTAGGGCATGTACCAAGTCCAGCTTCAAATCATAGAGTTGAATATCAACGAGATGCAAACAGGTTTTGTACAACCACCTGGTGTGAACCAGGTTATTGATGCTCTTAAAAAAAAAATTGGCCGGGTGTGGTGGCGCACACCTTAATCCCAGCGCTCAGGAGGCAGAGCCAGTTCCAAATCAGCTGGGGCTACAGGGAGACCCTGTCCCAAAAAGACCAAAAATAAATAAATAAATAAATAAAGAACGCAGCCAGGCGTGGTGGCGCACACCTTAATCCCAGCACTCAGGACCACTCAGGAGGCAGAAGCAGGCAGATCTCTGTTCAAGGCCAACCTTCTTAGTGAGTTCCAGGTCAGCTGGGGATGCAGGGAGACCCTGTCTCAAAAAGACCAAAAAAAAAAAAAAAAAAAAAAAAAAAAATTGTGGGGCTGAATGGCTCAGCAGTTAAGAGCACTGACTGCTCTTGCAGAGGACCCAGGTTCGATTCCCAGCAGCCCACATGGCGGCTACGAACCGTCCTTAACTCCAGTTCCAGGGGACTCCAAAGCCCTCTTCTGACCTCCGCAGCATTGCATAACATGGGTGCACCCACATGCATGACAGGCAATACGCTCATACACATAAAATAAAAATAATAATTTTTTTTTTTTTAAATTGTTAGCCGGGCGTGGTGGTGCACACCTGTAGTCCCAGCACTTGGAAGGCAGAGGCAGGCGGATCTCTGTGAGTTCAAGGCCAGCCTGGTCTACATAGTGAGTTCCAGGACAGCTGGGGCTACAGGGAGACCCTGCTTCAAAAAGACAAAAAAAAAAAAACAATTATGTGTGTTTTGCCTCCATGTATGTGAGTGCACCCATGCTATGCAGTGCCCACAGAGGTCAGAAGATGGCATCAGATTCCCTGGAACTGGAGTTATAGATGGCTGTTAGTTGCCATGTGAGTGCTGGGAACTGAACCTGGGTTCTCTGTAAGTGCAATCAATGCTCTTAACTGCGGAGCCATCTTTCTAAGTCTTTTTTTTTTCAATCATACCCTGTACAAATTCAGAATTGTGCTCTGCTTTCCAAATGTTTAACTTTTTAAAAAATTTTTATTTTTTATTTTTATATGCATGCATGTATTGCCTACATATAAGTAAGTGCACCCATGTCATGCACTGCCAGAGGTCAGAAGAGGCTGCTGGATCCCCTGGGACTGGAGTTACGGACAGTTGTCAGCTGCCATGTGGGTGCTGGGATTAGAACCCAGGTCTTCTGCAAGAACAATCAGCGTTCTTAACTGCTGAGCCATTTCTCCAGCCCCACAATATATTCATTTAAACTAGGAGTTTTCACCCCTGGCCCTGTTAATACTTGGATGGTTTTATTGAGGAAGGTGGGTGCTGGCAATTGACCAAGCGCTTCCTGCTAGGCAAATGCTCTACCACTGAGCTGAGCCTCCTCAGCCCTTATTTTTATTTTGAGACAGGGTCTTACACAAATTTGCCCATTCTGACCTCAGACTCACTGTGTAGTCCTGGCTGGCCCCAAACTTGGAATTCTCCTGCCTCAACCTCCTGAGTAGCTGGGGTGACAGGCCTGTGCCACTGCACCCAGCTCTGTCCACCCACACTTTGGACCAGATAGTTCTTTGTTGCAGGGAGCCTGCCCTGTGCATTGTGGGATGTTTAAGGCAGCGTTCTGGGCTTCTACCCAGTAGATGCTAGTACTAAGACTATAGAAATGTCCTCATGGGGGCCAATGAGATAGGTGCACTTACCTACATGCAGGCATAACACTCATACACATCAAATAAAACTAATAAATATTAAAATAAAATGTAGCACTTTTAAGAGCCTACCTCTTAAAAGTCACAATACTGAAGCCAGTTAAACTAGTAAACATACACACTTTAAACTTGCATGTCTAACTGCCCAATTTAAATCAGTGCATCCCCAGTGGGGACTTAACATCTGCACTGCCTGCCTGGTGTAAACCAGCAAACAACCACGGGGTTAGTATCCTGTTTGGTAACTTCCCTACCACAGACAGGTGGCTTTCTGGACTCTGAGACAACTGACAACTACTCCCCACCAAAAGGTGGTAAGCCCAAGAGGGATGGAGGAAGGAGACATTATTTTGGAAATGAAGCACTGAATGGGGTAGGAGCTTAGGGATTTAAAAACAGAGGCTGTCAGCCTTTAAGCCCAGCACTCCGGGAGGCAGAGCTCTGTGAGTTCAAGGCCAGCCTGGTCTATATAGTGAGTTCCAGGACAGCTGGGGCTACAGAGAGACCCTGTCTCAAAAAGATCAAAAAAAAAAAAAAACAGAGGCTGTCATAAAGAGGTGGGGTCAGGGGCTGTAGTTGCTCAGATCTAAGGCACAGGAAGTCTGGTGTCACAGGCAGCTGGGGTTCCCTGCCCCCATCTGTCCCTGACCATCTGCTGGACTGAGGGGCCAGGGAAGGGAGTTAGGGCTTTTGTTAGACCCCCTCCCCCTAGCCATCTAGCTGGTGCACCCCCATGGAAGGAGGAGGAGCTGGGGCACCAGACAGGGCAACACGGCTCAAGACAAACTAACAAACAAAACCAAACAATACAAACAGGAGAGCTGGGACCACCAAGGGACCCTGGAATTTGTGTTTATTTACTCACCATTGTCGAATTCATCAGGAATCTGGGAGAGAAAAATGAAAGGTTTGGGATGGCAGAGGCAGAACCCCTTGGTACACCCACAGAAGGTGCTCCAGCCCATCCCCCAGAAAGTAGGTCAAGAGCCCTGGGAGGTTGGGAGAGGTTCACTCCAGACTAGAAAGGAGGGTGGGAAGTGTCCCACCCTCACCCCTCCAGGGCAGACTCCTGGCACCTCTGGGTCTTGTTCCCCTCACCTTGGCACCATTTTCATCCACAGGGTTGGTTCCTGCAAAGAACACAGAGACAAATGAGAGAAACCCGGGCCCAGTCTTCAGGGTGTTGGAGGTAGAGAATGAGGAGTATAGAATTCCCAGTCAGGAGAGAGGGGAGTCTAGTCTTCCCCTCTTTCTTGACTGGGGAGTGTACTCAAGGGCAGGGAGCAATTAGAGGCTAGAACTTCAAGCAGAAGTGGGGGGGACCAACTGGTCTTCTCAAGTTTCAAGGTGAGTGTCCCAGTAGTGGCCCTATTGAGCGAGGATCCAGGGAAGGAACAGAATAAGATGTTTTGAGGACAGGTGAGGTTTCACAGTAGATACTGAGTGGTAAGACAAAACCACATCTCTTACCAAAAATATAGACGATGCTGACAGTCCCACCAGCCCCAAGCAAACCAGCAAGCCAAAGTGCAACTTTTTTGGCATAGCTGGGGCCCTCTGAGCCTGGCTGATGCTGTGGCCCCTGGGCCTTAGTGCCTGCACGACTGGTGATCTCTGCAACCTGCAGAGGAGAGGGGAGGAAGAGAGAAAACAGCAAGGTAGTCTCATCTCTAATCTGGTCCAAGTAGAATCAAGATCAAGAGGTAGGAAGTAGAAACTCACAGAGCCCCAGTAGTAGTGTCCCTTGAGAGGTAAGTTGAGAGGCTGATCCCCTCAGAGGGTCAAAATTCAACTCTGTAGATGATCACAAGGGTTCAAAAGCTGACAGACTAAACTATTCAAGATCCTTTAAAGCAACAGGATTGTAGGGTCTAGAGGAAGAAGAGTAGGGCAGGGAGAATAAGGGGACCAGGGGGACATAACGAGATCCCGAGGGGGCAGAGGGGCACACAGGAGACAGGGCGGGAGTTAGGACATCCGGATGCCCAAGGCTCAAGATAGCAAGGTAGGGAAGGGAAAGGATGGAAGCAGGAGCGGCTGGATGCAATCTCTTTGCTAAGGAACTACGGAATGGAAAGTGATGGGCTTGGAGGTCAGAATGACTAGGTCGAATCGAAAGCCGGGCCGTCTCCCTTATTCACCACCAACGACGGGGAGGAAAAGTCCCCAAGGCCAGGCTAGAGTCCCGGGCCCGTCCCCTTCGAGAAGCACCCTGAGTGGTCACTGCCACCGGGCACAGGTGACCTCTCCCGGCGCCCACGTGGCCGAGATGTGGGCTCTAGAGGATGCACTTGGGTCCCCAGCATCCAGCTCCCGGGGGCAGGGAGCGGGTAAAGTGCTGTCCACCCAGGAGGCACAGGAGCACCCCAAAACGCGCGCGGCGCTGTTTTCGGCACCCTGAGGCGCGGCATCCCAGCCTCTCCGGGGCGTCGACCCGACGCTCCAAACTTCAGGGAAGAGCTCCGCGCGCTGTCCTGGGGCCGCTCACCTGCTCTGGAGCCCGAGGAGGCGGCGTCGCCAGCCGCGTGCACAGCCCTCGCGCGCCGACCCGGAGCCCGCTCTGCAAGCGCGAGAACAGCGCCGCCGAGGCCGCCATCTTGCGCTGACGCCACACGGCCACGCCCACTCCCTCGCTCTCTCCCGCCCCCGGCCCGGACTGCGGCCAATGGGGACGCCGAAGTAGGGCCGGTGGACGGGAGCCCGAGAGTGACAAAAGGCTGCAGGCGCAGTGCTGTAGCGCTCTCTTGGCTTACTGCTCCACAAGCCGTTGCCTGGCATACTACATTGGAAACTTGTCCCCTGGCACCACACGCCCTCCCATGCCCCGCGCCCCCGTCCCCTGTCAGATGTGGAAAGAGGCCCAGGAAGCGAGCTAACAGGCAGCCCTCACACTTTCTCACGTGGAGCAGGGATGCTGAGTACTCCCCTCTCATCCTCAGATCTCTTCTTAACCCCAAGGAAATGGTGCATGCTGAAGCTTGAGAGCAAGAAGTCAGTGAATTCGAGGTTACAGGAAGCCACCACAAGTGCTCCCTAAATTATTTTCAGTAGGAAAAAAATCAAATTTTTAAAAAATGTAAATTTAAAAACACTATGGTAGTCAAAATGGAAGGGCACGCGGAATTCGTAGTAGTTACTTCTGGAGTGAAATGGGTTGCTGACTAAAGTGGGTACATACTGTCTTCTAATTGTGTATGCATGTACATCTGTGCATCTGTGGAGATCGGAGGACAACTTGCAGGAGTTGGTTCTCTCCTTCCATCATGTAGGTCCAGGGTATGGAACTGATGTCATCAGAAGCCAAGATGTCTCCCTCACCCACCCACTCACCTACTCACTCCTGACCTCAGCCCCTCTCAAGTAGCACTTAAGAGGTTGCTGACACACAAGGCGCCTTTACCCTGTCACAACGGTGGCCCTACATAGTTTTAGAAACGGGGATTGAGGGGTGGGGTGGGGATTCGGGGCTAGAGAAATGGCTCAGCAGTTAAGAGCACTAGCTGCTCTTACACAAAGGAACTGAGTTCAGTTCTCAGCACCCACATGGTGGCTAACAACCATTTGAAATTGAGTTCCAGGGGATCCAACGCCCTCTTTTCACATCCGCAGGCATTGCACAACACAGGTACACTTCAACACATGCAGGCAATACACTTTTTTTCCCTGTAGCCCCAGCTGGCCTGGAAATCACCATGTAGACCAGGCTGGCCCTGAACTCAGAGATCCACCTGCCTCTGCCTCTCTGAATGCCAGGAGTGCCAGGATCAAAGGCATGCACTACCACGCCTGGCGTCAGGCTTAAAACACTTAAACTGGGTCTTGGAGACATAGATCTTCACGGAGCATCTTGAATTTTGTCTTTTTGAGACAGGGTCTCCCTGTAGCCCCAGCTGTCCTGGAACTCACTATGTAGACCAGGCTGGCCTTGAACTCACAAAGATTCGTCTGCCTCTGCCTCCCAAGTGCTAGGATTAAAGGTATGCGCCACCACGCCCGCTGAACTTTTTTTTTTTTTTTGGTCTTTTTGAGACAGGGTCTCCCTGTAGCCCCAGCTGTCCTGGAACTCACTATGTAGACTAGGCTGGCCTCGAACTCACAGACATCCACCTGTCTCTGCCTCCGGAGTGCTGGGATTAAAGGCGTGCCCCACCACGCCTGACTGAATTTTTTAATTACGTTTTACTTTAGTATGTGCGGGGTGGAGGTCAGCGGAAAAGTTGCATGAGTCAGTTCTCTCCTTCCACTATGTAGGCCTGTAGATTGAACTCGGGTTGTAAGGCTTAGCAACAAGGGCCTTTACCCACGGAACCATCTGCCAGTCGGTGTTTGAGATAGGGTCTCATGTAGCCCAGGCTTGTCTCAAATTTCCTACATAGCTGAAGGAAAGTACCAGCACACCCCATCCACGGTGTATCTTTACTACCTGAAATATAATGTATTTGTAAAGACATGTGACTCTAGGTGTGGTATGCCTCCAATCCCAACACTCAGGACGCAGAGGTAGGAGTTCAAGGCCAGCCTGGTCTACATAGCGAGTTCCAATTACTTAGCAAGTTCCAGGCCAGCTGAGACTACAGGGAGACCCTGAAGACGGAAGATAAAGGACTATGGGGCTAGAGATTGGATTTAGGGGTGGAGCACCTCCTTAGAATCCATTAGTGAGGCTGGGAGCCAGACTGCAGCACAGGAGCAAGGAAGGGTGGGGGATGGGAGGACCTTGACACTGACTTTTCACTTAGCCCAAAGCTGTAACTTCATCAAACTTTTTTCTAAAGGAAATTACAAAATTTTAGGGAGTTTGAAGTTACATATCCAATGTATTGGGGGTTTTTTTTTGGTTCTTTTTTGAGACAGGGTCTCTCTGTAGCCCCAGCTGGCCTGTAACTATGTGTAGACCACCAGGCTGGCCTTGAACTCAGAGATCCGCCTGCCTCTGACTCCCCTGGAATTAAAGGTGTGTGCCACCACGCCCAGCCCATATCCAATGTATTTTACATTTTTCTCAGCTCTTACTTGAGCCTCTGGCACTTGAGAGGGTTCTAGAGTATATACAAATTCTCCCTAGACACCAAGGCTACCTCCACCCAGGCTGCTGAGGGACTTCCTGGGGATCAATCTCAGGTCAGGCTCTCCTGTCTCCTGACCAGATGTTTTCTTTTCTTAAGGTTGAGGAAATCACTACCTTGGTGCAGATGTGGAGGTCAGAGGACAACTTTTGGGAATCAGTTCTCTCACCATGTGAGTTCTGGGGATCAAACTCAGGTGTCAGGTTTGACAGCAAGTGCCCTTATCTGCTGAAACACCTCCCTGGCTCCAGTGTTATTTTCTTTAATTACACTTTTTTCAGGCAGACATGTGTCATGGTGTGTGTTTGTGTGTAGGTCAGGAACAACATTGTACAGTGGATTCTCTCCTTCCACTGTATAGGTCCAGAAATGGGGAGATGGAACTTGGGCTGCCAGGCTTGGCAGCAAGTACCTTTAGCCAACGAGCCATCCTGCTCGTCTCAGGTATCGTATCTTGACTCAGCTAGGGCTGTTCTGGTTGAGGCACCTCATCACCAGATTGCTCACCAGCCATCTAGACCTTATTTTCTAGATGGGGAAACTGGGAGTTAGGACCCAGTTATTTGCCCCAACTTAGTAACTACACTTATAAATAAGACACCCCACCCCACCCCCATACAGTTTTGACCAAACAGCTTCAGCTTCTCTTTATTCGAAGACCTGACTACAAAGGCAAGCTGGGACAACAGGTACAAAAGGGTGGGCCCTTCCTCAGATCTACTGATTCCTCAAATGTCAGGGAGGAGGAAATGGAAATTCAGAATGATGGTTCTAGCCAGGAGTCCATGCTGGGCCAGGGATGGGGCTGCTCACTCCACACCTGCATCCTTCCACGCACATATCTCATGCCTCCCGCCCGCCACCTCAGGCCTCCAGGAGCTTCCCCAGGAAGCGGAGGTTCAGGATCTTGATCTGGTCTTCCAGGTCCATGCGGATGATGCCATCTTCGCCATCAATACTCAGCAGGACCCCAGTGGCCTCTCGATCCTCACCTAGGATCACCTTCACCTGGAGGCAGTGGTATGTGTCAGTGCTGTCCAAAGCGTGCCATGCCCTCCTGTGTCCTCCCTCAGGCCCTGCCCCTACCTTGTTGTTCTTGGTTGGGGGAATGGGCTCCAGGTGCTCACTGGAAATGCTGACCACCTTCTCACTGTCCTTCAGGTACACGGAGCACATGCCACCCTGTGGAGGGACAGCCTGCTCAACCTGTCCAGCTCCCAATGCAATACCAAGCCCACTCTCCAGAGGATACAGATCCATTTTGAAAACTCAGTGCCCAGGGACATGAGAGCAAGTCTTACCTTTATTACCTGAAATATGTTCAGAGCACACTCTAGCCTTGCCCTGGGTTCCTGACACCAGCATCACAACCCCAATCCATCCATGCTGCTGAAGCATGGAGAAGCAATTTCACATCGCACATCCAGTCCCACTACACCCCCTGCTGAGCCCTGCATGGCACTCCCAGGTCCCCAGGAACTGACCTGACCCAGCCCAGTCACTTCTCTGGCCTCATTCCCCCTTGTTATTTCTTTTCTTTTTAATATTTTATTTATTTATTTATTTTTGGTTTTTTTGAGACAGGGTCTCCCTGTAGCCCCAGCTGTCCTGGAACTCACTATGTAGACCAGGCTGGCCTTGAACTCACAGAGATCGGCCTGCCTCTGCCTCCCGAGTGCTGGGATTAAAGGCATGCACCACCACACCCAGCTTATTATTTTTATTTTATGTGTATGCGTGTATTGCCTGCATGTAGGTAAGTGCACCTGTGTCATGCAATGCCTGCAGGACAGAAGAGGCTCAGATCCCCTGGAACTGTAGTTACAGACAGTTGTTAGCTGCCATGTGGGTGCTGGGATTCAAACGCAGGTCTTCTTCGAGAACAACCAGTGCTCTTAATGGCTGAACCACCTCTCCAGCCGCCCCCCCCCCCGAACCCCCGTTATTTCTGTTCCAGCCACAGTGAGCATGCTTCATGCACATGAGTCCCTGCTTTGGGAACACATGTTAACACCATTTTTCTTGGCTTACTCTTATTCGCCCTTAAGGTCTCAATTCCAGTGTCTCCTCCAGGAAGCCCTCCCTCTCCAATTCCCCCAAAGTAGGGTTCCCCCAGCTCCCCAAGCATTCAAGGCTTGCCTCATCCTAGTTCTGCCTGCTCTGGGGACACATCTGTCTACCCAAATGGAAGGTGAGGTCTGAGTGCACAGCAACATACATTCCCTGAAATTACATTCCTTTAGTGTACAGCTGTGTATGTTCCCTGAAAGCTAAGCGCAGATACTGAGCACCCCCAGCCCTGAATACAGGCTTTGTCACCCCAGCCAGCTTTGAGGCAACAGGTGAGCAAAATGAAGGTGCTACTCTGGACCCCTAACATACAGGCTCAGATAACAGAGCTGCTTCTGAAAGCTGAGGCTTAACCAGACAGACTGGAGGGAAGACAGGGGCACGTGCAAGGCTGGGAACTTGAGCACTGGCCATGGGTGCCTAGCTCAGAGGGCACTCAGCACAATACCAAATTCATCTAAGGATTGTGACAAAGTCACCTCGCTCCAATGCGCCACTCACA